AACTGAAACAAAACACTAATTTTGAAAACCCAATATATGCAGAGGTATTGCTTAATACTGTATAATTCTATTTTTCAGCTAATGTACTGCTGGACTTTGTTCTTGCTTTCGTAGGATAAAGATTATGGGTAGATTCTGCTTCTAAGTGAAGCAGCACAGAAATTCCAGCTCAGGTCAAGGTAGAACTGAAGTGGTTTTTAGGAAAGTTATAAAGTCTTGTGCAGGATGAGGTTTTTAGCAGGCATCCAGCTCAGGCAGCACAGCTGCATGGCCCACATCTCTGCTTTTGCAGCCCAAGCACTGCAGCCCGCTTCTCCTCTGGGATCTCAGGTACTGTTTTTGGCTTGCTGGTGCATTCTGGTACAGCTCATGGACCCAGCACGGGTGGGAGCCTATTATACTGCACTAGGAGTGAAGTGTCTATTTCTGCCCTCTCAGTCCTGCCTTCAGCATTGCACAAAAATTCAATAGTTCTGCATACTGCAGCCCTGTTTCTGTACCAGCCCTGTTTTTTTCATCCATACAGTTGGATGAGACAGTTGTTTTAAGATGGTGTGCCAGCAGGTGGTATGTGTGCTGGAGGAATTCTGCCCTGGCTTGGGTGTGAAGCTGTGGAGTTCTACTGACTTGAGCCAGTAATTCCAGCCCTTTTCATTTTACAGTTTAAAATTTCCAGATGGCCTAAGTGACTTAAGAACCTCAGTAACAAAGTCACATGACTAAAACTAGCTGCCTTTTGTGAAAAATCTCGGTTTCTACTGCTTGAACGTTATGAGAGAGAGTTCAGGAAGCCAGGGATCCATTTCCCCAACACTAATGAATGTAACTATTTACAAACAGTAGTAATGCCAATGTTATCTAAATTCATGTATGTGCATATAGACAGATCAAACTACTCCTGACATTAAACATTAAAATAGAAGTCCTGGTGTGTGGAGTAAGTTTGTAGTAGTGTATTTCCTCAGCTGTACCATCTGAGGTGAAATTAGCATTTAATTTTGTTATAGGCAGTGATTTGCAGAAATAACTTATACCATGACACTTGACTTTAGCAAAATACTTGGATGTTTTGTACATTAGAATGTAAACTTGGATTTTACAATTATTGTTCCAGATGGAAAAGGAACAGCAACAGGACACAGAAAATGTCCCTACTCCTTCTCCTTCACTGCCTCCCAAGATTACTCTGAAGAGAGATCAACCATTAGCTTATACAGCAACAGAGGATACATTTAAAGACACCGCCAATCTTGTTAAAGAGGACTCTGTGGTATAACTAGGTAACTGATTTAGGGAAAATTAGACACATCCATTTGCACATATATTTTTTATAAACAGAAGAGTAAGGTTCACATCCAAATGCTTTATGAAAATATATGCATCTCTTAGCCAACGGCTGGAGATGTATGTTGAAACTATGCCTTGTTTTTTGACAAATGCCAATTTCTATTTTTGTGAACAATTATCATGATGTACTATATGTATATCTTTGCACTGAAGCTGTCTGAAAGTAATGTTATAAATATGTTGTACATTTGTAAATTTTTGAAAGATTATCTTGTTTGGTGATGTTGCTAGTAGAAATCTGTATGGAATTGGTCACATCTTTAGGGATAAATTCATTATATAAATGCTTAAACTAAAAAAGAACCAAACAAGGTGAATATAGGAACATTACTGATTTACAAGATCTTTAGAGTATATATTTATAACAGCACCTTTTAAAACTTCTACTGGTGCGCTGGGCATCTTTATCACCTGTTTTATATACTACTGTATGTAAAAATGGGTGTCTTTGTTTATCTGGTGTTAAACAAAAGATGGAAGACTCAATGCAGCATCATTATGCTGAATAGTTACCTGTGCAAAATATTGTTCTTACAATATTTTAACTGCCTGAGATAAAATAATTTCCTCTGAATCCATAAGACACATACTTTTCCTCTAGGTTCTAATTAACACCATTCCATTAATAGTGTTCTTAAAAAGATCTGATATATTTAGATTTTAGTGCCATGACTACTTAATTTAATGAGATTTTCTCTTGCTCATCAATGGAATAGCTCTGTTCTTGGCTGGAGTCTCTGGAAGTAATTTGTACTATTAAATGAAGTAGCTAGATTTCTATAACAGCTTATTTCCAAACAGCAAAATACGAAAGATAATGGTTCATTTAAGAAATTATTCAGGTTTTTTAATGTGAAAATTTAATTTTATTGACTATTTATTTCCTGAGGTGGACATCAATAGAAAGGGAAACAATTTCTACTAATGCAGTCTTCGTAGTTATCTGGTTATTTCTATAACCTTCCATCTGAATAATACTGTACATCTTACTAGATGTTCTATTAATTAGCCAAGGTAGTTTCCACAGCATAAACCATTTGAGGAAACTCTGAGTACCACTGCAGGAACATCTTATTCAGCATTCCTGGCTAGCTGCTCATATAATTTAAAAATTCCTAAAGTTATAATCCTTGAGACTTCTGCTATTTGATTGTTTTATATCTGAGTTCTCAAAATATATACTATTTCTAATTAGAATGCTTATAATTACTTTGTAACGTACTTTGATTAGAAAAGACAACTGGAAAATGATGCTGCTGAATAAATCTAATAAATGTATTATTTTATCACATCCTTATTCCATATTATGTGTCAAGGGTCTATGTACTTTTTTCAGTTGTGGAGACTTCAGTGCACTCTGAGATGAAAACAACAATGCTTTAGATAAAGTCAAATAAGAATAGTGCTTACTGCTTCACACAACTGTCTAAAGTTCTTGATATAACATCACTGACATGGTATCACTCTAAGTGTGAAAACTGCCCCATTACACACATTAAACAAAGTGGCCCTTGAAACAGGAAACTCTTATTGTTTGCAAGAGACTGATTATCAAGGTAGTACGGACATAAGCGATTAAAACTTTAGTTCAGTTAACTTTCATATCTGAGTTCTTTAATGTAGAAAATTCTTTAGAATGTGGGATGCAGCATACACATCTGTAAGGCTATGAGAAAGGATTTCTTTGAAAGGCAGGTGGTTGTTCGTAAGGAAAAAGTTCACAATATTTTTTAGAGAGAGAAGGCAGGATTAACATTTCCATAAGACTCGCCTCCAATTGCATACCACAAGAAAAAGTGGCATCAGCTTTGTGAATAGTCTTTGTCAACAGAAAGATTTAGAACCAGTTTTGGAGAAAACTGCTAATATGTCAGCCATGTATCAGAGATACTTTTTTTTTCCCTCTATAAGAATTTTAACTTTTCAGATGTGGAAGAAAACTATCCCTGAGATACTGTATAGATAGGTAGTATGTAGATTTGATTATTTAACATACCTGACAGTGAAGGATTCCTAAGCTTCAGCTGGGCCTCTTCGTCTCAGTAGCGTACCACAGTGTACCCTTTTGATTAGGTAAAATTTAATTTTTTGGTACTTTGTTCAACGAAGGCTGTAGATTCTATTCCTAACCTCACTTTTTCACTTGTATTTTTTTCCCTTATGAGGACAGTCCCTGCTTTTATTCTTGAATTCTGGACTCATTCTGTTTCAAAGGTGGCTAATTTTTAGAGATTTCGGCACCTCTCTGTAATCTGCCACTATAGCACTGATGATAAATTATACCATTAAGTTCTTTCACGCACATTCTCTTTACAGCTGTCAGACCAGATAGAGAGAACTATCTCTCTGCAGGTATTTGTCATGAAATGAAGTAAAATAAATTTATTCTTGAAGCCATTTGCCAGAGAACAGAACCTCAATGAAATACTTACAGGTTACTGAACACTTTTTACATTCTGTCCCTTTCTTGTGCATGTACAAACACACGCAGGCCCGCTCTCACACACACAGAGTGATGAAACTCCTTTTCTTACATTTGGAGTTCTGACCTGCACATGGTATTTTTGTAAGCTTAATTGAATTGCACATTAATGATTAATCACCAGCACAGCTCTTTAGCAAATAAAACCTTTAGCCTTTCAATTTTAATATCTCTAGGAACACCAGTTTGTGAGCCTCTGGCCAGCAGCTTAACAGATAGAAATAGTGTATAAGAAGCACAGTAACCTCAGCTAACATTTTGCTATTCCGAATTCACTCTTTGTACAGTTGAAATAATTTGCCGTAGCATATGCTAATGACCTGTTTTATCTATGAGTGAAATAATCATCCCCGTAACTTGCAAAGCACACTGAGGACAAAGGAAATGTGAATGCATAGTGTTTTTAATATTTTCGTCATAAACTATACTAATATTAGGAAGAAAGTTAAAATATTAAGTTTGGATACTCTGTTTGCATAGTAACAGAGTACAATGTAGTTTTGATTTTTCCTGTAATTGCATATCTGTAAAATAGCTTGTGTTTTATCTCTACACAGCAGAATAGTCAGGTGATTAGATGTGGTCAAATACTGCAATTGTAATTTCTGGAGTATGTTGCAATAGCTGGGCTTTGGTGTTACTTGATTTCATATCTTGTGTTCATAAGCTTGTGAAGTTTAGCAGCTCCTGAATATGACCATGAGCAAACCCCCGCATGAAATAGATGATTAAATCTGACTAAATACATTCTGTAAGGTACATGTATAAGATATATGTTCTGAAAGGCCACTGTTTTTGTTCAAGTCCACTAGCAGCCTATGTGTTGATGAAGTCTACTTTAAAAACTGATTCTTTTAGTGATTTTATTTTTCTTATTTAAATTTTTATTTATTGGGTAAATAGTATTAACCAGCTTTGTAGCTGAATATTTTATGAATGCAGATCCTATAGAGGTATCATTTCTGAGCATAAAAAATGACCTTCAAAAACATGCTGGATTTACAAGCTTATCTGCAATCTCAGAAATTCCAGGTAAGGAGGGGTGAGGGGTGGGGGGTGGAGAAAGTGTATTCTGAAAGGAATTTAAGCAGTCTAGCAACTGGTAAGGAAGCAGACGTCTGGTTTTGATAGAATTAATATTTATTTCTGCAGAGCCTATACTGTTTTAATACTAAATGTTAATTAGAACTCCAGGAACTGATCTCCCACTAGCTGCTGGAGCTGGAAACATCATATACAGCAGCATGTCAGATAAACAGCTTGGGGCATAGGAGAGAAACAGCCAAAAGAACTTTGCATCCCATCCAGCTCCGTATCGTGTCCTGGGGTACTTTGCTATCAGGGCATGTTCCATGCATTTTATGACCTTGGATATATCAGTGCCACACAGTCTTTTCACTGATGATCTTTGAGCCTTTAGATCTGCAAAGAAGAAAATAAACCTGAAAGCGTTTATATGCAACATTCTCTGCAAGAGGATTCTTTATATTCAGAGGTTTGTCTAGGGCTTCAGGCTTGTTTTAAACTACTGGCTCAAGTACTGACAGCAGTATAGCTACAGCAGAGCAGAGACCAGAAAGGCTGCAGGACACCCAAGAGTTGGTAAAGAGAAACCTCCCTGGCCCATGTTGTGAGCCAGGTGTTCCCTACAGTAAGTGCAGTGTGACACAGCACAAATTTTCAGCTATTAGCCATAATTTAGCATATGGTCATAGCAATTCATTTGCCCTGGGCATTCTACCTCTAAGTATGGAGGGACTAAGGATGGTAGCATGACATCATATGTCACCAACCTCATATGGGAACTAATAGCACAGGCCTCATCTAATGTACATCTAGTCCAGAACAATCAGCAATGGGTTCGTAATGAACGTTAACAAAGTCCAGCAAACATTCACAGAATCACAGATCGGTTGAGGTTGGAAGGGACTTCTGGTCCAACTCCTGCTGCTTAAGCTGGGTCACCTAGACCAGGTTGCCCAGGACCATGTCCAGACAGCTTTTGAATATCTCCAAGGATGGCAACTCCACAACCTCCCTAGGCAACCTGTGCCAGTGCTTGGTCATCCTCAAGGTGAAAATGTGTTTCCTGATGTTCAGCAGAAACATCCAGTGTTTCAGTGTGTGCCCATTGTCTCTGTTCCTGCCCCTGGGGGCCACTGAAAAGAGCCTGGCTCTGTTGTCTTCACAGCCTTGCTTCAGATATTTATATATGTTGATAATATCCCCCCCGAGCTTTCATACAGTCCTTTTTCTACTTACATTCAACAAAGTATTTTTCTCCATAGGAGTCCCTGATCTCAGGAGTCAGTCTGTTCCAAAGTCTTAAGAGGTATTTCTCAATGACATCTGAATCAACTACTCCCGTCATAAAGAAACCATGCTCAACAATGCTTACTTTCACTCCAAAATGCTGCATCTCTATCCTAGAAGATAAAAACAGCAATAACCATCCCTGACCACCCAGTAATGATATAACCATTAAACACTAGTAAGTTGAAAGTCTGTCATATAAGTGAATATTTGAGACTTTGATTCTTATCGTCAAATGTCAGAATAATTTTTAGATGTTTGAATTAGCCTCGTAGCAGTGTACCTGTCCTGTAAAAGCACAGCAGACAACTAACTCGAGGAGGGTGGGGGGGAACCAAAAACCAAAACAACCAGTATTAGGTAGATTCACAGCTTTTTGTGTGGTTTATGTTGGACCGATGCAACAAAGCAGCAGGCAGCTGCATCTTAGCCATGTATTATCAAACTAAAACTTTTGACTATTTCAAATACTGTTTCATTGTTTCAGCTTCCAGCAGGAACAGATTATTAAAGTGCCTGGGAAAAAGTAAAAGTTAGCAAAAATTTTCAATTGAATTAGAACTTTATTCTCCTTCATATGGTCAAGTGATTAAATGTTAGTGCGATAAAGGTTATTTTCTGGTAGTGTGGTTCCCTCTATGTAATTTTGAGTTGCAATGCAATTCCTTTGGGATGCAAATGGCCTCTTTATCTTGCTGGGCAGCTCAAGAGACTTGGGCAGTTAGTTACATTCCAAAGCGTGCAAAGGAAGGGACAAAGGGACCACTTGTACATTAGCCTCTGGTTTATAGTATATTCCTTGGGGCATATACTTTCTTTATATAAGCATTCATAATGGTTTGCAACGAACTTTCCTAGTCCTTGTGAAGACTTGACTCGCTGGGCTAGGCCCTAGCCTTCTCAAGACAGTACAACACAACTGGCTTCAGTAAGGGTGCTAAGCTTAATTTTCCGAAGTTATGAGTACCTTTGGTAACATGGTTGCTGCCTGGAATCACCCAGCTTGGATTGTCGTGGAGCATTAGAGCAAAATCAAGTGGGTTGTAAATGGGCAAGTACAACGAGGTACAACTTGCCCAGGAAACTCTGGGTTGTCTGACTACACTGTTGATTTATTTTCATGTACGCAATGGATTCACATGCTCAAAAGCTGCATGCTAGCCATTTGTCCAGGATATGAAAATTTTTCCCAGTGCAGTTTTCTGGTGCGTCTGTTCATAGTACTGGAGATTGAAATCCCAGTCAGGTGACCAACATCTTATTTTCTTTTCTGCCTTTAGGCAAGATGTCCAGAGAGAAAACGAGAGGAACAGCCATACAGTCACCTTCCTCAGGATATCTGGAATCTGTTCTTGGATTCATGCCTGAATTTCTAGCTACTCACCGTAAAGTGTCAGAGAAAGCTTCCATGCCCCATTTGGACAGGCTGTAGGCACCCCCTACAAAAGTCATAAGGCCTTTGGCATTAATTAGATTGACTACTCTTCCCTCAGCTTTTTTCAGGAGTGGCAGAAGCTTGAGCGTGATTTCAATCAATCCCAGAAGACTAACATCCAGCACTGAGTGGAAGTCTTCAATCCTCAGCCAGTCAGTGGGTGCTACAGGTGCTGTTCCTTCAGCATTGGTCACCAAGCCAAAAAGCCCTAAGAAGATTACAAAACCATTTATTTCTGTATGTGGCAACATTTTATCCTAGAGTTTCCTATATATCATTGGGAACCAAGCACACAGTCTGCAAAAACTTCAGTGAGATGAATACAATTGTCTGGGATTTGCTTGTAAGATCTACTCCATACCTCCAGCAAAATTTGCTGAAGGCCTTAGGCCATGACTCTAGAAGAGCATGGGTAAAGTATTAAAGGAAAACTATTTTTGTTAGAGATATAGGCCACCATACTGGGCTTTATTATACATATCTGCTCAATTATGTGAATGTTTGATATGTCAAGTATGCGTATGCTCAAGTGCTCCTAATATGCACTTGCATTCTTGTGAAAATCAAATAGCCTACATAAAAGTGGAGAGACTGATATTTCTGGATTGGGGTCTAAAGGTCTGAACTAGACGTGTGGCATTAGTCAATGCTTCTAAAAATATTAGCTTAACCCTGTGTATTGATAATACTGCTTTACTACCTTATAAATTACTTGAGGAATTTAGATAAATAGTGACGCTTCCAAGAGTTTGCTGAGGACAGCCTGTGCCTGAAGGGAGAGGCTGAAAGTCCAGCACTCAGCCTCCATAAAGAGTTTCTCAGACTGAGGTGACAGCGTTAGCAGTGGCTACCCCGACCAAGAACGTGCGGCTTTCCACAAGCTGGAAGCAGGGGCCTGCTGGAGGAGGTGAGTGCTAATATTTATGTTGTCTTTGCCCTCAATCACTACATTCTAGAATGGTCTGGAACTGTCATCATGAGGCCAACAGTGTTTTACAAGCTTTGAGGAGAAAGTCCTACTGGTGGAAGATACATGTTTTAGCTAGTTAATTAATTAACAAGCCTATTGAATACTTGGTATAACTGTGTGTTACAGCTGGTAGTTGCAGTGCTGTGATCCCTTCTGGCAGCCCTTAACAAGATCTAGTCTGAACTATTGGTGCTGAAAAAACCCATGTATTGCCACAGTTGAATATATTTACTACGCAGATCACCCTTTGCCAAAACCAACACTTAAATCTTGTTTTTTAACTCACTCATTGATATCCAAGGACAAACTCTTACTCTATTCAGACAAGTGCTTAGAGGTAGCAGTAGTGATAACTTTAGTGGGAGCTACCTATGTAACAACTCTAAGAAAACTAGCTGAAAGGGCAAATGTTTAACTGTTACAGTCAGTGCAATTGTTGTGTGCATTGCAAAAGCTGGACTTAGCCATGAAAAAACACTCTTCTCCTTACTAGATGACGGCTGAAGAAGCCCTGCACCAGAACTTCTTTCTTCATACATCCACCATTCTTCACATATTAAATTAGGTGGGCTGGTTTTATTGTCAGGAAAGTTATTTTTGGTACCAGTTAGCACCTTTCCCCCACTGAGATTCTTCAACTGCACCAAAGAGAGTCTGGAAAATGCACCAGGGAATTATCTGGTTTTAACAGACTGAGGAACTAGATTTTTAGGTACCCTGTTGGTGAAAGCGAGGGGAAGCCCAAAAGTATTGCTGGAGAGAATCTCTCTGAACTGAGAAATGAGAGAACTGAAGAGTCAATGCATTTCATCAGTAAGATGCAAAATGCTTCTGTGGAGAGTGGAGAGGCACCAGAACTTTTAGCTAGACCAGATTTGGTTATATTGAATAATTTTTCTGGGAAATTACCTTGCCACTTAACCCTTGCCAGCTGTCTCTTTGGTCACAAACACCACAGCCCTGGAAATGCTGTTGGAGTCAGCTAAGTTCAGGGTCACTGTCTTCAGTGAGAGTGAGGAGCAGGACTGTAGCTCTTGGCCTCCTTTTTCTGTGGCACATGCAGCAATGACACAAAACCCCCTTTTGTCAAGCCATTTAGCCAGTGAGTTTCCAAGTTCAGTGTCACAGCCTGTTATGAAGACATGCTTTCCACTCAGTTTTCTCACTCTGTGACTGTCTCTGATGAGCCAGTAAATGATAAGAGAAAGTATGGAAGCCAAAATTGCTATGTGCAGCAAGTCTGAAAGTGAGAGCTACAAGCAAATAAGTTAATGATCTAGAAATACAATGAAGCAAGTATGATCAGCCAACCCCCCCCAGCTTCCTCAGACACAATTCTTGTAAGGGGCTTTGTTTCTGGTTGCAGCCCTTCCAGCTCACTATAAGTTAGAGGAGAAGCTTTGGGGTGGAAGCTTTGTCACAATGTGGTCAGGATCTATGAATAATACGTGCCTTGGCAAAACCTTCCCTATTCTCTTTTTGAATAGATTTCCACTGTTTTCAAGCTTTGCTGACCAATCTTTTTAATCAGCCCTGTCTTTTTAGGATGTTTCAGACTGAAAAGAATGACTGGGTCAGTTCTCACAATAGTGTCTGTGTTTTTTTGTGGACAGTGGTGATTATTTGTGCTAACACTGAGGAGAGGAATTCCTCTGGGAAGAAGGACGATTCTCTTTGACTGCCTGTATGATGCCACCCAGGCTGCTCTTCGAATCTGTAGCACAGAAGAGTGACCCCAAGAACAACCAGAAAATCTTAAGCTGTAGTGGTGGGTCTGATGATTAATTTGTTGTGTGGCTCATGTTGCGTGATGGTCAGTGATTGTCTCTCTGCCCCTTAGACAAGGCAGACTTTGGGGCAGTGCCTGATTCTTCTGTCTCCTTCCTCATTGCCTGTTTATCACTGATACGCAGCACAGTAGAATGTATTATATAGGAAGTGTGTTTGTATGAAGAAATGGGGAAATGCATGGAGATGTTGCCCTTAAAAAAAAAAAAAAAAAGGCACTGAAAACACAAAGTTTCTTAACTCTGGTGGGGAGGATGCTGCTTGCTTATTAAAAAAATTTTTGATAAATATAAAATACAATTCTTGCCATCCAAAATCTTAATGATTTTTTTACTGGTTTTCTATTTGTATTTTTGGTTTGTGCAAGAATTAAACTAAAATAATTCATTAAACCCAATATTTATGGAAAGGCTGATAAGCATTTTCTAGACATCCTGTTAAAGAGAAACTTTTTTACAGATGCTAAGCAGTCACCTAGGTTCTAGTTACCTACATATGTATAGAGTGCAAACATCTGTCCTTTAAAATGTGATTGTATTCAAAGAATGAAGTGATACTTTAAAAAAAAAAAAGGGAGTTTGTGATTATTTTTAGATCCCAAAAGTACTCAAAAAGGAAGGGGTCTTTCTTCTCTAACTCATAGCTGTCCGAAGTTAAGCATTCATTTGGCTGATTTTTGTGTAACATCCTTGCTTCCTTAAGATGTGAGTATTAAAGGAAGCCCAATGTATTAGGCCTGGTTACTAGACCCCATCTGGTGTTCTTGTTCCTACTGAGTTCATGGGGTGATTTGGATTTATTTATAAGATTGCCCCTTCAAGACAACCCCTCTGACCCAGAGGCATTTGATAGGTCTTCCACAATCACCGTAGTTGACTTCTATACATTCAAGGTTCTCCTTAACATAGAGCGCAACTCCTCCTCCTCTTCTTCCCTGCCTGTCTTTATGAAACAGCCTGTAGCCATCCGTTGCGATCCTCTAGTCATGTGAGTTGTCTCACCGTGTTTCAGTTATGATATGTGATATCATAACTTTCTGACTGGGCATGGAGCTCCAGTTCTTCATGTTTGTTCTCCAGGCTCCATGCATTGGTACACATACACCTGAGGTGGTTGGTCTTCTGGTTCTTATCTTGGGCGGCAGCCAAGGAACACTTGTTGCTGCTCTGGTTGGCCTGGTCTCTCTTTAAATTATTAAATCAGTTATATAGCTAAGTGATAACAAGTGACAACATTCCTTGCCACTTAATGATCTTATTTTACATAGCTGGGTGCCTCAGTAGGCATCATTATGGACTTCTGAGCTACTGGTTAATGTTTCCTGGTTTTAAAACACTAAGCAAATACATACAGGTAATAGTTTTCTTCTCCTTCCACTGCAATCTACAGGGAGGATCGCACTGAATTTTTGGGCTGTTAGATTGGTCCCTGGGCTACACTGGTTATTTTAGCAATGCATCTCACTGCTGTTTTGAGGCTTATGTAATTGGCCCCCTAGTTCAGGTACTTCACTTAGATACTTGGCTTTTTTGCTGTGAATGTCCCTGTTAAGTCTGACAAGGATTGCAGTGTTCCTGAATGTGTGCACTTTGGAATCATCTTTGTAATGTTTCACTGAGTTGGTGACATTTGTTTTCTGAGAGGACTTAGAGAGTGTGCTCTGACAAAGTGCCATTAAAACTGTGTGAAAGAGCTCAGGCTAATTCAAGCTTCTGTGCTGTAAAATAAAGTCTGAAAACAGGATGATGCAGCAGCTGATCATAGATACCCCTAGTCCATTTGCAATGACATGCCAGGCAAGGACATTTCCTTTGACTGCTGATTTAGAATTTGGAGCTGAGCTAGACACAGAGAGAGAGGAGTTGCTAACACCAGGCTCTTGTAACCCCAAGCCGATAAATCTCAGCAAGCAAGTGCTGTGGTATATCATTTTAGGACTCAATTCACCTTTTTCCCAATACGACATTAAATGAAATAATTAGGGATTTGGGGAAAAGATTAACCTAATTGGAAACAGGAGCTGTAAATCTTACCTTCTTTCCCTGGCTGTGCTGTAGGGAGGAAGCAGTGGGCAGTGAGCTTGCACTACTGGAAAGCAGGTTAAATTTGAAACTAGGCTCTGTGGGTAAGTCCTGGAGTGTCTGGCCAGGATGCCTACTTGGCTCCTGTAAGAGAAGCACCTGGCACTGCTCTGGGTAGCGTTAGTCTCTGTGTTTAGGTAGCAATAATTGGCACAGAAGAGCTATAAGACAAGGGGCTGTAGGGGTGACAGCTAAAAGGGCAGTGCTGTGTGGAGCCTCCACTGTTCCTCTCTCCCCTATAGGCCCTGGACCAGTGATCCTAAACCTGTAATCCCTAACTGCCTGGTTCTCCCTGAGTAACAGTGTTCCTTCTCCGGTAACACATAGACATTTGGTGCTGAGCACCATAGTGGGTTTTGGTCTGCTGGAGCCTTCTGCCAGTATTTATTCTACTAGATGATGTCATTGCTGCTGGAAGGAGTCTGGGGTCAGAATCAAAGGAAATAGTCTCAGTTAAAGTTTTTTTCCAAGAAAATTGTCTAGTTCTGTGAATGTGTGATGTTATGCAAAATATTTCTTGTTTGATAATTGTGGAGAACTAAAAAAGCCACTTGTCTTCCAAGGTCGTATTGATTTTGAAATAGCTGCCTGGAGTGGCAAAGAGTGTGTTTCCAGAGAAAATGTCAGCATGATATTTCAAGAGTATCAATATATCTTCATAAATATTGAATTCTGATCTAATGTAGCCAGTAAATAGCTAAAGGCAAATTCTACTTTCCATTAAAACTTTGATATTTGCCTGGCAAATTGAGAACTCCTGGGTTAGAGCTTGGCTTCTTATGCCTAGACAAGTGCCATTATAAAAGCAATTGATTTTAGAGAAAAGCAGCATGACTACACCAAGAGCCCTTTTAAGATCCTTGGATGACTGCAAAACACAGCATCCCTCTGCTTCTTTGCACTAAAAACTGAAGCACATAGACCATGTTGAGGGGGGGTGTTACTGTTTTACTCCCACAGCAAGTTTGCTCTGTTAGTCATGTGAAAGAACCTCAGGTTGGGGTGAGTTTTGGGGTTGGGGTGAGTTTTGGTGTCCGTGTGTGCTTTGGATTCCGTCATCTGCCACTGTGCTGGCAGTGCAAACCTCCATAAGTCAGTACTCTGCAAAGGGTTAGAGTGACCTGCCAGGCATGCTGAGGAAGAGCTGCCAAGGGGGAATTTAGGGACTGGGCTGCTTCAGAAAAAGCACTTATGTGGAAGGTTTAGATGTATTGGACAACACTCTGACAGATCACCCAACAGCTCTCCAGGGTCTAGGAAGTACAAACTTTAATAATCAGTCATCCTGCCAGAGCTACAAAACCCCTGGCCTTCAGTTAACAAATGGAGCAAATAATGCTGGCACAAACACATCACATCTCCCACTCTTACGTGAGCTATTCCTGCACATGCAGGTCTTTGCACTTTTGTTTCATGGAAAAGGAGTGCTTTTTCATATGCTGTGTAAAAGTGTCAGTGTGATAATTCAGGTTATTTGGGGGTCAACAGATAACTTAAGATCTTCATTGATACATCACCTTAAAAGAAATGCATCTCCAAACTTTCCTACTCAGCATCTTGCAGGGAGACAAATGTAGTCTGGTACAATGGAGGCTGATTTCTCGGCATGATTATATCTTTCCTTGTATGGTGTGCACTTCGGATTTTTACCACAGCATCAGGAAAAGACCCAGGAAAATATAACCATGTAAACTCTTAGGCAACTGACCCAGTAATTCAAAATAAAGGAGTAGAGAAAGATTCCAGAATTTGGGAAGAACATTTCTGAGTTAGCATTTTATTCAGACCCTGTAGGTGCTTAGATAAGCAACAGTTGTTAAAATCACTCTAGAAAGGAAGGGACTGCATGTTCTCTTGTCTGTGCACTCAAAAACAAGTGCTTAATCTGTTCTCTTAGCTATTCTGCAAATACATGTAATGGGTACTGCTCACTATAACAATAGACATGAGTTCTGGTTTTGTGCCAGTACTTACATTCTGGGGAGACATCTGCAAGCTCAGTCTATACCTCCAGGTGCTCACGAGTTGCCGTCACCAGTTATTTCCAGTGTCAGAACATAGAAACTGCCCAAGTCAAACTCATAAGCTTGTACACCAAGACCCGCATGGTGATAATTTCCAGAAAATTCTCACAGTAAATTCCATGTCTGGTGGTCCTTTCTGATTGCTGTACACTGGCTGACAAGCACAGCCCCTCTCTCTGCTGTTGATAATGACTTGTCCTGTGATGCTTCTACCTTAGGGACTTAGTTGGTATTATTCTTCTGCATATGCTCCATGCCTGCCTATCCTATATTGTATAAGCATTGCTGCCTATATATAGTAATCTACAGAGCCTTGGGGACTGTCAAGACTCATTAGGGAGATCTAATCTACTCGGCTCAGAAGGACTGATCTGTGTTTCTTCTTGAAACCAGTAGGAGTCTTTCCATTGATTTACCAGGTCTTGGTTCAAGTCTCCCCCTTTTCTTCTGCATGTGAGCGAGTTGTTATTGACATGACGTAATCTTTTAAGAAACATCCTTCTGTGTGAAAACTTTCAGGGATTATTTTTTCTAGTCTAGGGGCAGCTTTTTGGTACTAGAAAGAAATCAATTGCCTGAGTAACTAAGCAATGTTTTTCAAATACAACTCAAATTCTACAAACTGTGCAAACAGAAGCTCTACAGTATGCATGGGAAAAGACTCCTAACATATGACTGCTAGGCTGCTTGTTTGCTACTTGGCCCAGAGTCTGCTGGGTGCTTCTGATTCAGCTCTAAGTGCTATTGCGTAAACATGTAAGCAGAAGTCCCTTTCCCCACTCTTCACGCCTCCCCATTCACAGCGCCATGCAGTACAGGATGCTGCAGGAAGTGAGGAGACTTGGGCAAAGACCTTTCTCAACACCAGAATGATTGAATAAGCTTTTTATGAAAATTGATTTGAAAATAACTGAATGGGAAGGAAATTAAAACTGGGGAAATCAAACAGCGTGGTAGGATGGAGCTGGAAGTGATCTGTCCCCATTCAGTTGAGTGGACCATGGCAATGGCAGCCTGTCCCAGGCTGGCTGGTGACCCCTCCAGGCTGCTCCCTGCCAGGAGCTGCAGAGTTGTTAGTTCATCCTCTGCTTGGTGGGCAGCTGTTTCCCCTCCAGTTTCTATCCCTGCTCATTTTGGCTCAGGCTGGGAAATTCTTGCTGCTTTTGTCACTGCCACACCAGCCTGAGCTGTGGTGTTGGTTATTAGTGCACTTTCAGCACTCTCAGGGCAGTCAGGGGATGTGTGCAGCTTGCTGGAGACTTGGGAATCAACAGGTGGCTGGCAGAGATTTCCTCTCCAGCACAAGCCTGGCAGATGTGCCTGCTGGGTCTGCCTAGTCCTGTCTGGCCTGATTCCAATGACAGGCTTTACAGCATGGTTGAAATGACCACAAAACAGTACTCCACCGGCAGGCAAAGCCTATTGCAGGGGAATATTTCTCCAGCAGTGTCAGGTCAGCAAGCTATTGTAGGTAGCAATCCTTTGCCACACAAAGGTAGGAGAGAAAAACATAAAAGGAGTTTCTCTACTGATGATTTTTTTTTTCCACTTGAGCTGTAGAAAATAATTTCAGAAAGCTGAATAGATCCTGCTTAGCACCTCGGAAAGCATCAAAATGAGGAATTTTTCCATTAAGTTCCCTTTCTCACAGAGGATCCCCCGATGTGCTCAGAGCACAGCATGTGAGGGAGCTTAACAGAAGAGAAACCACATAAGCAAAATGTGAAGCTTTCCATTAGAGAGCTTGGCATGAGACAGTGTTTCCTCTGCAGAACGCAGCACTTGACTCTGATTTCCCATTGACTCCTGAGGTGTATTTCATAATGAAATCCCAGACTCCTAGAAAGGATGTGGAAAAATAATCTTCCTTGAAGCATAACCTTGGGGAAGGAAATTTGGTTCTCCAGTGAAAGGCAAGAAGCTAACATTATTCCTGAGGTTTTGAAGCGCAGCTTTGTGTGCTGGCTCTAACAAGCTAACCAAAGCCAGCTGCAGTCCCCCAGGATGTGCTGACCTTGTGGGAGTCATGGGTTTTCTCCTGAACAAGTCCCTTCTTGAATATTTAGACATACATCCCTAAAAATATATGTCTAAATATTCACCCGCCCCATACAGCCTTGTGAGGAAGACAGGTTTTGATAGCCATAGCAGAGTACACTGTGATTTGCTCATTTCCAGAAGTCACTGGCTTTTGTTGCGGGCATTTGAATATGTGAGGCATCTGGTTCCAGGAGAGAAAATACCAGCAGAATTGGGCCTTCCATACAGTGAGAAGTAATACTTTGAGCAGCTGATATTTTTCCTGCATTTCTAATTTAAATATTTACAGCTAGAGTGCCCTGTCCCAAATTCTGTTTGTATTTTCTTTGAAATGTTAACCTTTGCAGTGCTAAGGTCTCACAGTAGCTGACAGTATACTTGTGGTCTGACAGGGACTGAATTAAACCAGCCAAGGTGTAATTTCTAAAGATACAGATCAGAGTAGGAGGTGTCATTTCATACTATCTTTGTTTCCCTAATCACTTCTGGCGAAGTAATCTTGGTGGGGAAAAAAACCCTCAAGCTTTAGCTTCTAGAAGGGCTCTGTGTGAAATGACACTAGGGCTGTCTGCTAAGTTCAGAGGACAAGATTCACATCCCTACAGCCCAATGCTGCCTGCTCTGCAGGAGCCAAGAATTTCACTGACTGAGATGGACCGATTTCGTTCCTGGAAAGCTAACAGCTCATGCAGATTGGGACAGGGAAGCTACTAGCTCACCAGACAGCCTCACAGCATCCTTTGGATTAAATGTTAAATAAAGAAAACTTTGGTTTCTGTCACTTGTATTGACAGAAGCTTGGTTTTAAAATAAAATCTACTACAGCAAGGCCATCAATAAGAATAGCCAGTTGAGAGGTATTCACCTCAAACCTGCTCCAGAAGGAATAACTTTTTCAGATAACTGAGATATAAATCAAATGACCCCACTAAAGCCTAACCATAAGCTGCACTTAGAAAAGTAGAATTGATGTTTTGCAAGCGCTGTAGAAACCAAATTGAAAACCAGCAGTATTTGGACTGCTAACTTGCTCTTTAGCCCGATCATGTCACAGCAAATTCACCAGCATGAGGAAAGCATTTGTTTCATCGCTGAGTAGTTTCCATGGCAGTGGGAAATGGCTTCCTGAGCAACGTGCAGTTACAGACTCGACATGGGGTTACTGCAGTTCTCAAGCACTTTGCCGTGATTAATTCCAGTGGAGCTGGGTCTTAACAGGCACTTGTGTCAGGAATTGAACAAGGGCAGCACCTCTCCACAGGGATTACTCAGCATCTCACAAAACACAGGACTGTTATTTTTATGCCAAGAAATAGCTCCTAGACTTGAAGTCTTGCAACCTCAGAATTTTTTTTTTTTCCATTTAAAAAACCCACAACTTAGCTCTTCACTACCTCAATTGCAGGTATTGGACCCCTGTAATTGGATCCACAGTGTATGTTTGTAGCTATGGATCCTTTACAACAGAGAGGTAGAGCTGGAGTTTGGACATCCTCAAGATTTAGCATGCTGACCAGGAAAATGCTTCACCTAAGCCTTGCAAAGTCCTGTGGGTAGGAAGGGGTGTGGATCCCAACCAGCTCAATGACCTGTGTACTTTATTTTGTACCAATTAAGACTGTACCAAGGAAAGGCAACCACATTTTCCTTGGCCTCAAAACTGAATAGGGTTGACTGCTAAAGAAAGCAATATCAGGAAGAGGATTTTCTGCCCGCCTTCTTAGTTTATATTGCAAGAGTTCACTTCTCCCAGAGGAAGGCCCTGTTTCCATTCCCTCCTCTGCCCAAGATGACCAAACTCTTCCTGCTGTAGGGACTTTAAGTCCTTTAGGACTTTTTTAGTCCTTTAAGGCTTTAAGCCACATTCCCTATTTTCCTGGGATATTTTCATATTATGGACCTTTGTGAAAACTGAAGCCTTGAAGGGTTCTCAAACTGAGCACCTTAAAGGTGAAGGACGTGAAAAATCACATTCAATTCTGAAAGTTTAATAGTTCCTTTGTTCTTTATGGTTTATATGTTAAAAATTAAGTAATGCAATTTTTTTTAATAGTAGCAGAAATTGGAGAAATAGATATATTTCTTACATTTATAGGGAACGCGTGTGTATTTAATCTGTAGTTTGTATCATGCTGATATAAGAGACGGATCTTACAGAATCAGCCTTGTCAATGATGGGGGATATATTGGCAAATAGTTACTTTGCATGGGAAACTGCAAGCTCTACTCTGTTCCGCAGCAGTAGAAAGTCCTGTATAACTGCTGGCATTTTGGAGAGGGGACTCCAGAACAACTTAGCATCCTGCCCAACAACATAATGGGCACGTGGATGGAGGCTTGTTAGGGCATGCTCCATGCACTGAACAACTGGTGAAATGTCCTTGTTAAGACAGATCTTGGACAGCTTTTGTTTCTTTGCTGCATCTGTAAAGCTCAAGAAAAGAAGAGCATTTAGTGACAGACAGGCAAGGTGACTTTTAACTCTTCCCCCCACACTGATCTGTGCAATTTCACTAAGGAATTGGTATTTCTTGTTTCTCACACAAAAGAATTTCTAGCAGTTTCTGAGGACTTGAGTCCCCATCCATAATAACCTTATGATATAGTTGGCCCCAAGAACAGTCTAATTACCCTTAATTGTGGAACAGTTATGGCAAAACCAGGCCTGTATGGTCTGAGGACAGGCAATCAGCATTGGCAGTAGCTCAGAATAAGCATATCTATATAAGAGGCACAGGGAAACAGAAATGCTGGAGTTGTAAATGAGTCTCTTGCAATAAGGAAATTGCTTTGTGGGACGTTGTGAAACACAATTGTAAAGAAGAAATTTGAGGGACAAGAAAGTCCAAGGATCAAAAGACAAGCAGCCCCTGTTCAAGCAGGCTTAGCAAGTGTCTGTCAGACAGGTCTTGAATGGCTTAATCACCACTGGGGCTAGTAGAAGCAATGGGAATTGATCCCTGTTTGATTACTAAATAAATAAATAATAATGACAGAACAACACATTGAGCACATTGATTACATCATCAGATAAAAGTTTTTCTGTTTGGGAGTTTACTCAAAAGCTTCTTGGCAACATGAATAATTAATCTTTAACTGAGCTCTGTATAAAACTTCCCAGAACAAGTCTTTTGTGCAGATAGTCATATTGTGATGCAGAAACATTTGAAGAGTAACTTTTCACATCACAGTCTTTCCAGAAAGTCAGAATGATTGGAAGATATAATTCTACTTTTGCAAGGCTTTCTCAGCAGGA